GGAGGCTACTCCAGGTGGCTCCGAAGCGATCGTTCCTCGGGTGACGCGGCTGCGGACAAGCGCGCAAGCAGGCGCCGCAGTCCGTCGCCCTCGTCTTCAGACAATCGTCCGAACCCTCGGTTCGTAGAACGTGAGTTCAACTCGGGCAGTGAGGACGATTCCGAGTCCGAGAGCACTCATGATGCTCCTGCGGGCTCTGTGGGAGGGCACAGCCCAGTGCCCAGTGAGCACAAAGAAGACAGCGTGCAGTCGTCCGCTAGTGATCACGGTGATCACAGTCCCAGGACCTCTGTGCGCTCTGAGAGTCCGGCCGTTAAGGCTAAGGGCACTCCCAAAGCCGGTGGCGATGAGGAAGGGAGTCCTCGCAAACGTCTCTCGCTTGCCGAGGGTCTTGCGCGCGCTAAGGCCTCTAAAGCCGAAGGCGCCAAGCCCTCAAAGAAGCGTACCGCCTCTAAGTCTCCACTCCGCGAGGAGAAGGAAACTCGACGCTCCTATCAGAGTCTCTTCGGCTCCTCGGATGAAGAGGAGGAGAAGGAGGAAGAAGAGGAAGAGGAGGGTGCCATTGTTGAGCCCCGGGAGGTCTCGAATGACCTCGACCAGCAGCAGGAGGATTTCCAAGCTGCCCAGCGTGTGCGTGGGGGTTCGGTGGCGGCACCCGTCAGCCAGGGAGCTGCCATCAACTCAAGAGGGTATTGGCCTCCCGAGGAGAGCTCTGGGGCTGACCTCTTCCTAGAGCTTCTCGTCGCTCCTCGTGGCCTTGTGGACGGCCAAACTTCTAGGGGCATCTACGAACGAGCCCTTGTTCAGAAAGAACAGTTGTTCGTCGACAACGTGGAGGCTGCTCGGTGTGTGCTTCTCGCGCCACACCGCATTCCCCTTAAGGACTTCACGACTTGTCGTAAGAAGCCCGAGACCCGGGGTGGTCTCTATCCTGTTTGGGGATACCCCTGGGTTATGCCCGAGATCTGTCCCACATGGAGTTCTTGTGAGGACATGTTCTGGGCGTGGGTGGAGACTCTCAAGTACTCGCCCACGGAGTTATGGGAACTCCATGAAGATCAGCAGCTGTCCCACATCCTGGACCAGCGTGATCTTCGTGTGAGGTTTGCCCACTTGATCAGCAAGCGTATGCTGCCAAGGGACATCCTGAAGCGCGCGGCTTCTAGCGCTCACGATGAGTGCGGGTACGGTATGTATTCATCATCCGTACCCCGTTCGGGCAAGAAGCCCCTGACTACTTATGAAGTTGCCGCCGCTTCTGTTCCCAGATTGCGACAGCCTTCGGGCAGTCAATCAGGAGCCGTTCAATCGGCTCCCACGAGTTCTCGGAGTGGGCATAACCCCTCCACTTCACGAGGAGCTGTTCCCGCGACACCGTTGCTCCTGGAGGATCCGCTCCACGTGGAAGTGGACTTCTCCATTCCGGTCAAGCAGGGGCGGAGGTGCCCTCGTACGAGTACGAGTACTCGGCGCCTCCCGAGAGCCACTCTCGTTCGAGTGCTCCGACTGCGGGTCCGACACGGGACCCTGAGGTTGACCGCCTCCGTCAACGTCTCCTCGTGCTTGAGATTGCACTTGGCCTTGGGACTGGCGGTAATGCTGCCGCCCAGGCCGGGAATCAGGGCGAGCTCGCTCGTCTTGCGGGTCGCCTGGACCTGGTGGAGCGAGAGGTCGCGAGCCTGCACCTGCGGGTGGACCGCCGGGCCTCTTCGTCCGATCTGGACGAGGCCTTTCGCATGATCCGACGGATCGAGGCTTTGTTGCCACGTCCGGAGCCGCCTGCGGCACACTCCCAGACGTACGCGTATGGTGCGTACCCGGCGTACTCAGCGTACTCGGCGTATGGCGCCGGGGTCCGTTCGTATGGAGCCCCTCCGGCGTACGGTCTTGACCGCAGCCTTGCCGTCCCGACCGAGGCTTGGGTGCCTGCTCCGACGCCCTCGTCGACGACTGTGACCGGCCCTCGCTTCGAGGAGCTGGGTCAAGGGGGGTCTGCGAGTCAGCAACCCCCTGCGGGTCAAAGTACCGCTTAAGACGTCCGACATAGAACGTCGGGTGCGTCGTCATTGACTTTGGAAGGTCGATGGTGTACGACGCACCATGTCTGGCCAGGACTGCAAAAGGTCCGATGAAGCGGTGCTTCAGCTTGTTGCTGCCGACAGAGCTAACAGTGTCTAGAGGTAGGTTCCTCGTGTCTAGTAACACTAAGTCACCAATCTCAAATATACTTAAGTTTCCTCTTCCTTGTTTGTCCGAGTACTCCTTTTGTTTATCTTGGGCCGCTGCCATGGCATCGCGGACCCTGCTGACAATGTTCAGCTTGGTATCCATAAAGGATTCCACCTGTTTCCGCGGCGAAACTGGCCTCACATCCGAGACCTGGGAGGAAAGGGCTTTCCGAGCCTCTCCCCCACTTAGAATAGAGGAGTCAGTGTTTCCTCGAAGAGTGAGAGGCACTCTGGGATGGCGGAAGCCGTTCAAGTAGAACGGCGTGAACCCCGTGGACGCGTGCACCGCGTTGTTGAGCGCAAACTCAACAACTGGAAGCTGCGTCGACCACGTACGTGGCGCTGCCGCGCACACACTGCGCAGAGTGTCCTCGAGCACTCGATTGACGCGCTCTGTTTGGCCGTCTGTCTGCGGATGATCCGCAGTGGACATCTGCAGACGAGTTCCCAGTAAAGGGAACAGCGTTTTCCAAAACGCAGCAGTGAACCGCGGGTCTCGGTCCGAGACAATCGTCTCCGGGAGACCGTGATAGCGGAACACGCCATCGACGAACAACCTTGCGGTTTGTTCGCCCGTCACAGTGACGGGAACTGGAGCAAGATGTACCATCTTGCTCAGCCGACACACGAACACCAAAATTCCGGTGTTGCCGTGTCCGTCGGCGGGAAGCCCAAAGATGAAGTCAAGACTCATCGACTTCCAACAATCAGCCGGTACGGGCAGGCTCTGTAGTGGAGCCGAAGAGTGCCCTGCGGGTTTAACCCGCTGACATGTTTCACATGTCTTGACGTACCGGGCGACCCACTTGTACATGTGGGTCCACCAGAAGGACTGAGAGACCGACAGAAAGGTCTTCTCGCGGCCCAAGTGGCCGCTGGAGGGCGCGTCATGCGCCTCCGCGAGGATGTCGAACTTCAGATCCTCGTCGTTGGGTACGACCACCCGTGGAGGATCA